ACAGTGAAGGGATTCAGAGGGATGGACCAGTATATCTGGGAAGTTTTAGATTCAGATTGAGATGATATCTGAGCATGTTTGTAGGCTGATGTTAGGTAGAGAAAGTATATTGTGGTTAATGGTGCTAGATCCTGAAATAGGATTAAGCATATAGATAAGGAAATTAACCTAGGTTAATGATAATAATAACAATAAGAATAGGAACTGAATATAAGATTGCATCAATGTATCTGGATGAGAAACCTCTCTTCCAATAATGATAATCATGATAACAATTATCACAATCATCATAATAATATTTGCATAGCATTTTAAGATTTTTAAAGTACTTTACATATATTATCTCACTTGATTCTCACTACCACCCTTTGAGGGAGATGTTTTTATCTCCATTTTACAGATGCAATACCTGAGGCTGAATGACTTGCCCAGAATCACTAACCAAAAAAAAAAAAAGAGTCAGTGATAATGATGAGAAATTTGTGATAATTGAAGGATATCAAGTCAAATGGCTTTATTCTTCTCAGAGAAGTAGAAAGTAGTCATCTGTCTTAAGTGTAACAGGGAATTTTAAAAATAATAAAAATTTTTGAGAAAAATACATCAAAGTGTCATAAAAGTGAATCTCAGATCATTCCCAATGTAATTTCTCATAGCAAGAAGTCCTAGAAGAGCTAATAAACTATGGTTTCTATGGATTTCAGTACTAGAGAATCTGTAATTTAAGCCCTAGGGACATTCCTTCAACTAATACTAACTGCAATACTGCTACAATACATGGTCTTCAGGAGTTGCTGAAGCCAAACACATACACACACAATCATCACACTGTGGCCAGTCTTCTTCACTGGGTAATGAACCTCTTCACTTGGACAGTTTGTTATAATGCAGTCTCACCTCTGTGATATAAGGCATCACAGTAAGACTTTAGCTAGAGTAAGTTCCTACAAAGATGGAGAATTTTTTTAATAGCTAGAACCACTAAATTCATACCACACAGCACAGGAAAAATAATTGGAGCGATTATTGTCATATGTTCCAAGGCAGCAAATTACTTCTTGGATCATTGCCAAACTAGACTTTTTTGGTTTCTTACTTGTGCTTCGTCTCTTCTGTTCCTTTGTTCACAATATTCCTTGCCTGTGATGCTTTTCTCTAAAGCTCTGTTCAACTCTCGTTCATTCTTTTGAGACTCAACTCAAAAATGGACTCTTCCACGAAGTCTTCCCTGTTTCCCCAAGCAAGAGATGATCTCTTCAGGCTTCATTTTCATGTTGTACTGTGTAATATAGTTATTTGTTTCAATCATATCTCCCCTATCATGTTGTAAGCTCTGAGAGGGTTTATTTATCCTTGCTTCCTCCACAATTCATCAACTGCTAGCACATAGTAGGCATTCAAAATCTTTTGACTGAGTGAATGAGTCATTTGTTCCCAAATAATTTACTTTTTATTTTAAAAAAATTAACTTCAAGAATGAGTTAAAAGCTTATAAATAGAATGACTCATAAAAAAGACAAAAAGAACTCTCATATGAAAGCAAAAGCATTTTAAAAGTTATGAATCCATTGCTTAACCTTAAATAAAAATGTATTGATTATATATTGTGACTGCTGTTTTTTATTAACTACTTATCACCATCACTTGTGCTTGCCTAAAGATATAGGGCATCTGTGGCATTTATCTGTGGACTTCTTGATCCTGGTAATCAAAACAACCTGATTCCAAATAGCATTGTATCAAAAAAGGAAACCTAGAATGTTATATCTGGCAAGGAATTCTGTATGGAGCTTAAAGCAAGGGCTGTTTGTTTTGAATTTGTTATCATTATAAAGAAGAATATGATTTTGAGTTTTATTGTGTTTTAAATGGCATTAATAGTGCAGGAAGAAGTTGAAAACCTTGATAGTTTAATGAGAGACAAGCATTGAATGACCTTCAAAGTTGGCTTTAGTCAGAAACCTGTTTGAAAAATGTGTTTAGGATTTGTTTCCTTTAAAAACAAAACAAATTTTAAAAATTCACCTATATTATTTTTTGATAAGTTATTTCTTTTTTAATGCCCCTCAGGTTGCATTTTTCTGTACAAACAAATCAACTATACTACTTCCCAGTGAAACTTGAGAAACCAATTATTTGTTTTATTCCTTATCACACTCTTACCCCAGAAAAGGGGATAACTAAGTGCCTAAGGGGATTTTTTTCAAAGCAGGATTTTTCTTATCCCCACAAATCCAATAAAGTCATTGGTAGCTGAGCAGCTAAAAATTCCCTCATAGTGTTTGAAAAGGTCTTCTTGAATATTTTAAGTTCCACATGACAAAAATCTACAATAATATTTTGAAGGTCCTAAGTGGGGCAACACAATCAGGTTTCAAGAGACCACAATAAGTCTGGATTTTAAAGGTTTGGAATTTCCTTTAAAAATCATCCATCAGGAATATTCTCTACCACATTTTGTTCTTATTAGTGGACATGGAGGCATCAAACCAACATTTCTGACCCCCAAACAAGAAAGGTGGGGTGCAGCTGGGTAGTACAACTGGTAGAGTGCCAGGCCTGAAGGCAGAAAGACTCATCTTCATGAGTTCAAATCTGCCCACAAGCACGTACTATCTGTGTGACCCTGGGCAAGTCACCTAACCTTCTTTGCCTCAATTTCTCATCTGTAAAATGAGCTGGAGAAGGAAATAGCCAACCATTCCAGTAATCTTTGCCAAGGAAATCCCAAATGGGGTCATGAAGAGTCAGACATGACTGAAATGACTGAACAACAACCAAAAAGAAAATCAGTTAATTCAGCATTCCATTACCCAAGGAAGTATAGTCGAGAGCTGGAAGCAGGAATTAAGAGACTTCAATATTAGCCTTAGCTTGGTTCATAGTTTGGTCATGGGAAAGTTTTAACCTCTTATCTACATTTACTCAGTTGTCAAATGGAACTAACACCTGCTCTTCCTAATCACAAGGGTCTCATAAGGAAGAAAACCTGTAAAAAAACCACTTTTGACAAAGATAATTCTGAGGTTTTTGAATTGGGTGCCTATGATAATGGTTAGTGCCACAGATGGAATAGGAAATTGAGGAGGGGAGAAAGAGGAGAATAGTTTTAAGAGGTTTATTTTGAGTTTATGTCAAGACATTTGCATAAAATGTATTATTAAGTGGTGGAGAAGTACTGGAGTAGAATACAAGTGAGAGGTCAGGCCTAAAGGAATAGATAACAGTTAACAGCATAAAGGCAATAGTGGAGGCTATACAACAGGATCCATTTGTGAAGGGGAAGAATGTAGGAAGAGAAAAACAGAGGTAATGATTGAACTTTTAGAAATACTAACAAATGAAGTAGAAAGAGGTACCAACTAAGAAAAAGACAGAGTCAGGAAAGTAGAAGGAACAAAGAAGTAAGAGAGAATGAGGAAAGGGCAATGTCATGGAAGCCAAAAAAAGAGTTTCAAAGAGGAGGAGGGAGAAAATAATGTCAAATGCTATAGAAAAATCATAGAATATACAGACTCAGAAAAATAAAAGCTGGATTTGTCATGGTCACTGATGACCTTGAAATAAGCATCTGGGGAGGGGGAGGAATGTTGATTGAAGTTTTGGGTTTTTTTTTTAATCAATGAGAAGATTAAGAAAAAGAATGAAAGAGAACCTGAGTCTATCAGCATAGTGCCAAAGGAGAACAAACATTGTCTACCTATTTTTTGGAAGAACTGGAAATGAGATTCCTAGATCTAGTAGTCAAGATGGTAAAATGAAACAGTTGTTAATCTCTGTAGACTAGTGCAGATTGGAGGATATAGGCAAACTTCTACCAATCTTGAAGATATATCCTTGGATTTATTTTGAAAACATCCTACACACCAGCTAGTGGCTATCCCTCTTTGGAAAGCGATTATTTCCCTTGAGTGAAGAAATGGCGAGTGCCTTTTCTTCCACATCTCCCTTTCCATCAAAGAATTCTGAGATTTACTTTAACTTAATTATATAAAAAAAGTTTCACATTCTTTTTTTTTTACTTTGGGAATCTGCTTACATTTGAGTTTACTAGCTGCTAGAACTCTGTCAATAATTTCTTAAAGGATTATGATGCAATATACAAAGCACATTCTTAGTCTTATTATAGCCTTCTCTCCTAGTCATCCAGAACTTATTAACAAGGATATTAAGAGACTGGTTATTGTGTTTTTTTTAATACCTCCTACAATTTCAAATTGAAACACAAAACTTATACAGCTATCCTAAACAAATAAATAACTTCTTAGTATTTAAAATGAATTTGAAGTTTTAACATACAAATATGGGAATGTTTAATCACCATAGAGTACTACCACTTTATATTTCTCTTTCTGTATGTGTGGCACTTTAATTGCATATGGCATGGTATTTCAAAAGTACATTTTTTTCATTACAAATATTCTTTATTCTACTAGAAATGGCACCTTCCTGGAAATTTTGGAGATTGAAAACATAGATCATCTCTTTAATCACTGAAATTTGAAATACTGTAATTAACTTTTCACTTCACCTGCTTCCTGATTATCCCTCTCCGTGATATTTTCACATCTTTAATCTTATTGGCAGAAACTACTTAGCACTACTCTGACCCCAGCAGTGGTTGTTTGATAGCTAGTTGCAGGTAAATGGGGTGGAGGTGGAGATGGAGGTGGGGGTGGGGGAGGAAGGAGGTGGAGGAGTAGGGGAGAAAGGAGAGAAGGAAGGGAAATGGGAGGAAATTTTTTTTTTAATAGTCTACTCGAATAGCTGTCATTATTTTCAGGACAAAGGACAGTGGAAAGTTTGGATGCACTTTCATAATTACCCCTAATTTCGACTCTTCCCTGGAAACCCAGGACCTTAAGATACGAAGGGGGAAGCCCTTCGTACTCTACCCAACCTCTCCTCGAATGTGAGAAGTTTGCACTCACAGAGGGGAAGGGTTAAGGGACTGAAGAGTGGGATGTAAGGTGAAGAAACACCAGAAAAGCGGGACTTACCTTAACGAAGAGGGAAATGTCGTGTTCATTCCCCGGGGCCAGCGCGGGGGCTGAGGCGCTCTCTCCAGAAGACTCCTCCTCGGATGTTTCTCCTTCCTCTCTCGCGCCGTTCAGCCCTTCCCTTAGTTTATTTGTCTCGGTTTCAGCCCCGGCACCTTCGGAGCTAGTCTCCGACAGGTGATTGCTCAGCTCTGCCTCTAAGTTTCTTTCTGCGGTAGTCTCCTCATTTTCCTCCTCCTTCTGTGGGCTCCCATCAAGGTGATCTTCCTCGCCCTGGGCCACGACTTCTACGTTAGGGTTCTCCCTACCCCAATTTTCTCTCCCCTCTTCCAGGGCTTCTTCTTGGACATCCCTCTTGGCACCGAGGCTGTCACACCCCACCTGCACTGCTTCGCTAGGATCCCCTCCAGCTTCGGAGTCCTTTACACCTTCCTGGCCTCCGCTTTCCTCCTCGGCCAGCCCTTCTGCAGCCTCAACTTCTTTGCTCTCGGGGTGAACATTACCCCGAGCCTCATTTTCCTGCTCATCATCTATCATCAGACTGCCCCTGTCAGGGTCCTCCTCAAGGCTCTGTCGCTCCTCCACTTCCTCCTGCTGCTCCCTGGCCTCCATTTGGTGTACGGGACTGTTTTCTTCTTCTCCATAGCTCTCTCCATTTTCTGAATTTCTATCTTCTAGTCCTTTCGCCCTCCCTCTTTCGAGGTCCTCTGCTTCCATCCCCACTCCAGGCTCTGCTAGCTTTCCCTCGGGTTGTACGAGCTTCACGCCTCCCTGGACCGTTTCCTGGGAAGCTGCTCCTGCTGCTGCTGCTGCTGTAGTTACAACTGCTGCTTCACCCTCAACGCTGTGCTCCGCCCCTGCCTCTGCCTCAGATTCCGGGTCTCCGGGGGCCTGCGCTCCTCTGGCTTCTCCCTGGCTCTCCTCTAGCCTTTGGCGCTCAGTGCTGCTGCTGTCCTCCAGTTCGCATCTTCTTTCCTGGCAGATCGCCTCTTCTACGTCTTTCGGTACTTCACTCCTCTCTTCCTTTCCCTCCTTTTGCTCTTCTTTTTGCTCCTCCACGTTCCCGGGGGATTGCCTTATTGTGTCCTCGTGTTTTTTCTGTGTATCCTCCTCCCAGTGACTTTGCGTCTCGGTTTTACTCTCTTCTGCTTTCTTCTGGCCAATTGTTACTCCTGCTTCCTCCCTCAACTCACTGGGAGTCTCTACGGGGGATCTTGCTCCCGCCCCGTCTCCGGTAGCATCTTCTGCACAGGACTGCTTTTCTTCATTGAGCTTCGCCTCCATCTCCTCCTCCTCCTCTTTCACCCCAGTAGCAAACCCCGGTTCTCCGATTCCCTTTTCCAACAGTGCTGGGGGTTCTGCGTTCTCTTTGGGGGCTAGGACTCCTACCGAGGGTTCAGTGGTCTCTGCCATGTCTCGTGAAATTATTGTCTTTAGCTTGAGATCCCTCGTGAAAGAAAAATGCTGGTGGAGCTCCTTTTCCTGCCTCCCTAGCTTTGGACTTCTGGGACCTATGGTGACCCTGGTTCAGATGGATTAGTGCTTATTGCTAGCTGCACTCATGACGTTCAGAGCTAAATCCTCTCTGTCCCAACACCTTGATCCCAGTCTCAAAAATTTAATGGTTCCTTCGCTGCCTTATTCTTCACTCAAATTCCAATCTGTTTACCAACCTGAAAATTAAAGAATTCCCTTGGTCACAAACGGAGTTTAGGTGATTTTCACTACCAGGTGACTTCGCAAACCCTTGAAGTACTTGCCTGCCCTTCCCCCTCAACTCAAACTTCATCCCCTAGTCCTTGGGCGGAGCTCAGTCACCTAGGCTAACCTTTGGCACTAGAGCCAACATCAGGCATTCCCTCCTGGGGCCCCCTGTTGGTTTTAAAGAAAGGATTCCACAATACAAAAACCTAGTAGGTCGAATGTCTGTGTTTTTCAAAACAACGCTGAGGTGATACCCCAACCATTTATTATTTTTGTTATTATTATTGTTTTGCCTCACAGAATCACAGAATTTTTGAAAGTTAAGAGATCTTGGCTGCCATCTAATTCTATCTGTAGAACTCTAATTGTTGGAACTTTTTCCCCCCTGACATTTTAAACTAAATTGATCTCTTTGCAACTACTAGTCATTTAGTCATTGCTCCCAGTTCTGCTCTCTGAGGCTAAAGAATGCAAAATCCACTGGATCTACACAAATATTTGAAATCAGCTAAAAACCTATCACCACCCTCCCATCAAGTCTTCTCTTCTCTGGGCTAAACATCACTAATTTTTCCAATTTATCCTCATATTACTTGGACTCAAGGCTTTTCACCATCCTAGCACTACTTTTATGATAGAACTAATATATATCAGCTTCTCCCCCTTCCCACAATATGGAGTGGGCTCAGGGTCCTTCTTTTTCCTTTCTTCACCAGGGATTAGATTTTCCTAAAAGAAGTCAAAGTTGCCTCCAGGAACTGATTGATTCCTTTTCCCTGACTGCTTCCTAGTAACCAACGAGCACAAAAAATTGGAGTCTAGATTTCTCACTCAGACTTGGTGCTTGAAACCACCCAAGTTCCCATACCATCATAATGTGCTGACCAGGTGTATTTCCATGGGAGAAGAAGAAGGCCAAGTCTGTCAAAGCTGAAAATAAGTACCACTGTATTATTGTTATGTATCCTTGCTGGGATAGGGCAAAGTAAACTTCCTTTTTGTGCACTGTGCAGTGAAATACAAATGCCTCCTTTCATCCCAAAATCAAACCTGAGCTAGAGAGCACCAGCATTAAAGCTGCCTCCACCATCTCCTCTAGGTACCACCCAGATTATCAGTGTCCTTCTTCTATGGTGATACTCAAAATTGAACACAATACAAATCAGACAATGGCAGGATATATCAAGACCATTGCTTTTTTATTCCTGGAAATTAAGATAGCTCAAGACAGCATTAACTTTGTTGACTTCTGTATCACCCTGCTTGCTCATATTAAACTTATAGTGCCCTAAAATACCTTCAAGAACTGTTTTCAAAACAATTGCTATCTACCCATACCAGCTCCATGTTATACTTGTAATGTCAATTTTTTTGCACTCAAATTCAAGACACCTGTCCCCATTTCATCTCATCAAATTAAACCCTGTCAAGATCCTCTTGGACCATGTTATCATCCATTCTATTAGTTAGTCCTCTCAGATTTCTATCATCTGCAAATTTGATGAGCAGACCCGCTATTATTTTATCCAAGTCATATCTAAAAATGTTAAACTCAAGCACAGATTCCTGGGTTATTCATGTGGAGACCTGCCACTGTGATATAGAACTATTAACCCTTTGAAGCCCAGCCATCCAACCAGTTCTGAATCCTTCTGATTGTGTTATTGTCTAATCTATATCTTTCCATCTTCTCCACAAAAATGGCACAAGATATTTTATCAAAAGGTTTGCTAAAATCTGAGTAAACTGGATAGCATTTACCTTCATCTAGAAAGGAAATAATGTTAGTCTGGCATTACCTATTCTTTTAAAGATATTGATTTTATTGATATCTTTTATTTTTATATTATCTATCTTTTCCTGTTTCCTTGCTTTTCCCTGTGCCAGAGAGCTATCTCCTAAATAAAGAATGTCTAAATACAAAAAAAAGAGAGAGGAAAAAGAAGGGAAAATGAGCAAAACCAATGAACAGGTCAAAATATCTGATGTTATATACAATGTTCCACATCTATATGCCCCCACTTCAGCAAATAGAGAAGGGTCTTCCCATTTCTTTTCTTTGGGGCCAATCTTGGTCCCTATGATTTCACAACATTCAGTTTTGATGGTCTTGTAGTTGATATTCTTGGCTCTTTGCACTTCACTCCAGATCAATTAATGTGATTCTTGCAATGCTTCTTCATATCTATCATAGCCATCATTTCTTACTGCACAATAATATTCCATTACATTTATGTACCCCAATTTGTCAAGCCATTCCTCAATTACTGCGAAGTTCCTTGATGCCACAGAAGTGCTGCTAAAATATTTTAGGGTATATTGAGCCTTTCTTTTTGATAGTAACCTCCTGGGAGTACATACCGATCAGGTGAATCTCTGGTCAAAAGGTATGGATATTTTAATTACTTTATTTGTGTATTTCCCATTTGTTTTGCTGAATGGTTGTATTAATTCACAGCTTCACCAGCAATTCTTTAGTATGGCACAATCTGTTCTTGATGAAGCCCTGCTGGATCTTTCCTAATCAGATCCAGAATAGATTTCCCTTTATGGTTCCCCTACCTTGTGAAGAATGAAATGATCACTAAGGTACATCAAAAAGTTTGATTTTGACAGAAAGAGCACTACCGCAGATGGCTAGATAATTGAAGTCCTCCATTGAGATATGATGCATCATTGACTTATACTTTGTTTCTCATACTTCTTATCTATCTTTTTTCTTCTGACCTAATGGTGTGTAATACACTCCAATGACAATCACTTCTGCTTCTCCTTTCTTTGACTTTAACCTGAACATTCTCTTATATGTTATTCCTTCAAATTTCCTCATATACCTTCATACTGTACAATGCTACTCTTCTCATCCCACTCTTTCTACCTATTACTATTTCTTTAGAATAAGGCATAACCATCCAGAGCCATGGACAGTCATGGGTTTCATTCCACTAGATACTACTGTAGTTCAGGCCCTAATTACCTCTTGCCTAGACTATTGCAAGAGCTTCCAAATTGGTCTCTCTGTCTCAAACTTCTCCCTTCTCCAATTCATTTTCCACCCAAATGTCAAGTTGATATTCCTAAAATGCAAGTTACATCATCTCCTAACTTAATCATTTCCAGTGACTCCCTATAAATTATAGGATCAAAATATTCTTTCATCTTTATCTCATCCTTTTAAAATTTCTTTTTGAGGAAGACAGTGACATGGTGAGACCCAGGAGTGTGCCAGAGCCAGGTCAAATCAGACTACAATTATTTTTTTCTTCCTAGAGAGATAATTGTCAAACATTTACCAGCACACTCTTACGAATACCTATGCTTTAGGGACTGTGAAGGACAAGTTTTAGAAAGGAAAGACTGGAGACAAAGAGACCAATAAAGAGACTATAGAAATAGTCTGATGGAGAAGGGTGATATGGGTCTAAACCAGGGTGGTTGAGTAGAGGAGAGATAATCTAGGTCAAACCTAATCCAGGTCAGTCCAGTCCAAAAATTCAGGCTTGAGGATTAAAATGCAATTAAACATGTGTGTATCATAAAATGTAATAAAAATCACTTTACCAATTAAGGTTGGCAAGAATCAACCTCAAGTTAAAAGAATACAAAATGCTACTTCCCTCTACCACATTGAAAAGTCATGAAAACATTTCCCAAAGGCTACAGGAGCTCAGGTGCATCCTCTGAAGTTAATTCCCACTTGTCTGAGTCTTTATAAGATTTAAGCTGCAAAGCAGGCAGAAAACCTCCCCATCCCCTTAAAGGACCAATCCAGCATATGCTTCTGGGAGAGGTCTCTGGAGAGACCAGGCAAAGGAGAGTAAGGTGTTGGTGTCATTGTTATTGTTGTTGTTGTTCAGTCATGTCCAACTCTTTTCCTTGGCAAAGATATTGGAGTGGTTTGCCATTTCCTTCTCCAACTCATTTTACAGATAAGGAAATGGAGGCAAAAAGGGTTAAGGGACTTGCTCATCAATACACAACTAGTAAGTGTATGAGGCCAGATTTGAATTCAAGTCTTGACTCCAGGTCAGGTGCTCTATCCATTTCAAGAGTAAGGTAGCAAAGATTAAAGAGGAAGAAGGGAGAAGGCCACTTCAGCCAAAGTCATAGCAGCAGCAGAATCATGGGATGCTCAGAAACTACCAACTAAAACTCTCCAGTAATGGCCCCAGTGCCCCACCCACTGTTCACATTCTCATTGTAGCCAAGAAGGAAGCAACAGCAAAGTTATTGTAGCTACCATGGTGCAAAACAAATACACCTCCTACCAGATCCCACTTCTTAGTGGCAAAGTCCCCAAATTTTTCAATGGGATTTTCCACCACTAAAATAATTTTAAAACCATCCTAGCAACTAAAGGAGGAGCTTATTGAAAATTATAGAAACATAAAACAATATAATCTTCTTTAAATAGTCAGGAATAGTTCAGATGCAGTTCATGATTGCAGAAATAGTACCCATGTCCATAACATAAATGACCATACTTTTGATGGCACCATTCGTCTCCATTAAGTTTTGGCTTTCTGTATCAAGATAGCCAAGAGTTGCAAAGGCCTAAAATACTGGGATAAGAACCAGAGTAAGTTCACTTTTGGACAAAAATTACTGGGAAAACTGGAAAACACTATGGAATAAATTAGGTTTAGACCCACATCTCATGTATGTCAAGATAAGCCCCAAATGAACACATAACCTAGATACAAAAAGGT